AGCACTGTTTTCAGGCTGCCCTTGTTGCGTTTGAAGCTGGGGGATCCTTGTGTTATTAAGCACAATGACAGGTGAGTCAGCAAGTGCGATCCCAAACTCACCATCTGGGAGCAACTGCAGTAGCTGCAAGGTTTGCACTGCCTCAATGTTCACACTCCCTGGGACGGATGGGAACAGCATCTTGGCCGTGATGATGCGGCTGGGCGCTACTGGGGTACTGTGGTTATAAGTCAACATGTCGAATTCCAGTGTCAGACACCTAGAACCTATGGAATCCTATGGATTTCTTGCATTGGTGAATAGTTAGTTGCCGTAACTGTACAGGCCCCACTCAAAGCTCGCCCTTTGTTTGGGTGCGCTGGGATGGTGAAATCACTACTGTAAGGGGTGTTGAAGTGTCCCACTGAAAACAGGACCCTCGAAATCATTCAGATGGTGAGCTTTTATTTTGCTCAAACACCCAACCATCATGCGGGTAGAAATAGCCTGATTGATTAAATATTGGGGTGTTCCCCCACAAATCCTGATAATCAATGATTATTTGCTACTGAAATCTGGATGAATTATGACGACCTCACTGTGACTGTGACGTTCATTTTGGTCAGTAACGGGAATCATCCCCAAAGAACCATAAATAACCTCTTTTCAGCTATTTTCAGATCAGAGAATTGTGTAAGCTCAAATTGGTACCCCCCATGGTACCGGTCCATAGTGACCTGAGGTTCTTTGCTCCAAGCGAGTTGACAGGCACGGGCGGCACGTCTTGTGATTTTCGTGTGGTTTCTTGATTTGGGCATTGGTTTGTTTGAATTATGGATGGGATACCCTCTGGTAAACTTTCACATGGAAAATCTATATTTTTAGTGGGTAAATCAACTATTTCTATGGTCATTTTCAATAGATATGTTAAATTACCAGAGGGTACCTAGAAATTAGTTTGAGGATCTCATCATTGGATCTAGAATTTAGATGAATTTAGAATCATTTGGGTAGCCTAGTTTCAGACAAATACATTTTTGATGCATCATTCTTTTGCTTGGTGATATATGGTGATATAATCAGAGATTAAACTCGGGATGTCAGCCTCAGAAATGGGGATTGCGCCAAGAAGCATTAGAGCACATAAATAATATTAAATACTTGTATTACAATTATCATGTTAACTATGGCAACTATGGCAACTATGGAAACTATGGCAACTATGGTAACTATGGTAACTATAACACTCTAAATGTGGTAACTTTTGGTGCCGAATTTAATAAACAGTAGGGAGGCCATGTTTTCTCCGAAAGAAACAGCTCCACTGTCTCCATCGAGGCACAATGCGAGTGGTCCTGGTATTGGCCGAGGGCGTTTCTTGGCACGAGCTCCTTGGCAAAGATTCCGGCTGTCTTGAGATATCTACCATCACTGTAATACGGGTTTGTTGAAAATCATGAAACCCACATGTTTCAGTATATGCATGCATATATATATGTGTGTTTTATATACATATGTTTATAGATATATATTCAGATAAGATTCATATGTTGCATGATAACATTCATACTTCATACATGATAAACTGCATGTATATTATATATATACATATATGTGTGTGACGCATTTGTTTCCATGTATACTGACACAGATTTCTATTTTCATCACGGGCTCATGGCCAGGTATCCGGACTGTGCACTTCTTGGCGCAGGTCGCTTCTGGGGACAACATCATGGAAAATCATCGGGCCAAATGGGGCATTTTTCAGTAAAACACATACAGTAACTTAACGAAATAGTGGACCGAAATAGGATGATATAATATAGTGATATATAGTGATATGATATAATATAGTGATTAATTATATATATTGATATATAGTCGATGTTTTAAGGATGGATCAACGAAGCTGGGAGTAGGATTGGCTTGGGGGTGATGTTTGTGTTGTTTTGACGGCTAGGCAAACAGAGCTTCCCGTTCAGGAGAGCTCCGCACCACATGCGCATTATCCGTGGCATATTAGAATTGACACGTTGATTTCTGATACCCTCTGGTTATTTAACATAGCCATGGAAAATGACCCATTTATAGATGGTTTACCTATTAAAAATGGTGATTTTCCATGGCTATGTTAAATAACCAGAGGGATCCAGAGGCTAATCTTTGCGGATTTGAAAACTATCTTTGCATAAACATTATTGATGTGCTAGACACAACATACCCTCTGGTGATTGAACACAACTCTTGAAAAACACAATCTCAACGGGTACATCACCTGCAATTGGGCTATTTTCCATAGCTATCCTAGTTTACCAGCGGATATTCGTTGTACCAAGTCTTGCCAAAAGATTGGGCCTGGCAACTTCTATGGTGACACAGTGCATCCAGTTCTGTGCCTTTTACCTACCTGGACCTAGACCCTTCATAGAATCCGCAATAAACATGAGACGATGATATAAACTCTGCAGTTGTGGACTATTAGTTTATATAAACTATGGTTAAATAGCCACTACATAAATATGATATTTCAACATACTACTAAACTATCTATACAGCTCGTTAGTTCAGTACCATTTTTCAATGGCTGCAATGGCTATAGCTCCAGGTGGCTCAGCGTGGATCGATGTGTTGGATATGGATTCGATGGATCGCTCCGACATGTTGCTGGAACGCTTGGTGGATCATGAGGCGGCCCTGCCGCGCTGGGTCGCATGAGATGTGGAAAAGGAAACCGGGGAAAGCCTGGAAACATGATCCAAATCTATATACATTATTGGTTTGCTAGATCAGTTCACGCATTTACCAAGAAAGAGTAGAGATTTCACTCGGAGAAATGGGGATTTAGTTGATGGGTATCTAGAACATTCTAGAACCAGTGATCAGTGATGATTCTGGCTAGTGGTGCCATAAGATTTGCTTTATGTCGAACCATAGTTGGGATCATAATCCCGAATCCCCAGTCTCTCATTCTGGTAGAAAGCGCCTATCAGATCCATAGGCATTCGGGGAGGTCCCATCCGCCCATCCACGCATCGCGTCATTTGGTTCGAACGGCCGCGGTCAGTGGATCCCATGTTCAGGTGCGAAACTCGGTGCTGCATGTGTTGTGTACATGTTCTCCGAACTATAGTAATTTAAGCAATTATCTGATTGGTGGTCAGATATTGGGAACAATCATCCCAACTGACTTTCATATTTTTCAGAGGGGTAGGTATACCACCAACCAATTATGTAATTATATGTAATTATATGTGTGCGTTGTAACCAATATGAATAATGTACAGTAAACATACTGTTCAATGTTAAAATGTTTCTATAGAAACTGCATGATGTTGGCATGGCTCCCAAAATGGGGATGGATCAAGACATGAATCAGTAAATGTAAAAGTACTTGGTAGGGAGACCTGATGGCCATGGAGACTCCAATTATGGGGAAATTCTATGACTTTAATGGGAAATTGATGGTAGGTACCTCCAATTTAGGTTCCTGAAATGGAAACTCTATGACTTGGAGATATGTCAGTAGAAACCTGCCAGATTTCCCGTGCAAAAGTACCGAAATCGTCGTGTCTTTCGGTCCTAGAATGCCGGGCGCTCCCAGGGCGCTCCTTGAATTGATGCGCGGGGTAGCCTGGGACATCCTGGGACAATACCCAGATTCTGTGCTCCATGTATGGTATACCCTTTAATATCTTTAATGTAACTTAGTTGTGCAAAAACCGTCATTTCTAATATAGGCAAATCATTTACAAATGGACCATGTTCTGTAGCAAGCTGCCAATTTGCCAGAGAGTATATTTGGGTAAGGGTCAAGATTAGGTAGTCCTAGAATTGGATGGTTAATGCTGAGAACAGAAACACTTTCAGGTTATATATTTGTCTTAATTTAGATGTTCAGTTTCAGGCCGATCCAGGTCATGCATCTCGGCCGACTTTAAGGGATCAAAGGCGCCCCCCAGAAGTTGTTTTATAAACCCCAGTATTTACACTGCAGATATATATCATATATTATATATATACATATATATATATATATACATTTATATATATATATACATATTATTATTATTGTTATTATATTTTTTTTAAAAAAAATATTTATTATTATTATCATTATTATTATTATTGTTGTTTTCATTTATGTACACAATAAACCATACCCAACCCAGTTGCAAAGCAACTGGCCCCAGGGTCATGTATGAACCTCTGGAACCGGGCCAACTTGGTTCAAGCATTCCACGCCACGGTGCCGCGTGATCTTTTTCACAAACCCTTTAGCTTAACCAGGCAGGGCACTCTTCGGTGCAGCTTAGCTGGGCATACCTCTGGGTACTATTTGTTCTACAACTCTATAATATTCAGAGCAAAAAAACATGAAAAATCTTTTATTTGGGGGAGTGCTATATATAATATGATGCGTGTTGAATCTTGTTGTATACTTCCACGATACTCAGCTGGGAGTTCCAGGACAATGAAGCTGATCATCTTTACTTGCCTCGCTTCAACCTTCACTGGCGCGCTCAGCGCTGAGGTCGGCGACGCAGGTGTTGGAAGAGGAGTTTTTTTTTCCTATAAGCAAGACCTAATTGGCCTGGCTTAGGTGCAACTGTCTTACCATCCCATGTGTCTTTAACATCTCTATATTATGTGTATATATATACATATAGATATATTACATTCTCATGATGGTCCACCATTCGTTGATATGAAACTTTGTTTCAAAGCATTGCACGATATAATATACATATATATATATATACATATATATACATATATATATATATATATACATATATATACATATATATATATACATACATATATATACATATATATATACATCTATATATATACATCTATATATATACATATATATACATATATATATACATATACATATAAATATATGGTCCATTAGGGCAGTCTCAAACATCTCAGTGGTGTCCTATCCAGCACCCCAAACCAAACAGGTCTATGAAGCGAGTTCCCTTCGAGCCAAGCTGGCCTTCATCCGGGAACGCATGTCTTTGCGCATGACGCATGTCTTGAGAGGGCTTGGAGTGGCGGTGCAGGTGAAGATCTGCAAAATCGCCTGGATTTGCTAAAGATCTAGTGTTTTTTTAAACCCATTAGTTAATCCAGTATTTGGGGAATGTATTGGTGATAAGTTTAGTTTTGTATGTTCCCCCAAAAAGGCAAATCCAAGATAATTGACATGATTTCGAAAGCGAGTAGGTTTCTGAAGCTGCTAGTCCTGCTGATTTTGTCAGCTAGAATATTGTTGGATCAGGTGGGTTTGAGACGTTTGAACTCTGAAACAGTTTTTTTCTAGGTGCGACCAGCCCGGTGTGCATGTGTTGCGGGTGCGGTGGAACAGTTGCAAAAGATCCTGAAAGTTGGGTATAGGGGTGGCAGGTGATCATTAAACTCAGGTTTACTGTGTATAAATTCCCCGCAGGAAACAAGACACAAACAATATACATCAATATACATCATTACATCCTACTCACCAGTAGTTTTCTGGGTTTGATACCTCCTTCTTTCAAACCATGCGACGCCTGTTTTTGACCAGGAAGGATGTGTCGCCAGAGAAGAACACCTTGAACAACATCGAAAAGTCGATCATGAGCATGGCGGCTTCGCGCAAGACCAAAGGCCAGCAATGGCGATGTTGCTACGAACCAACCATTGGGGTTAAGCAAGCTCGAAACATGGAAGCTTTAAATGAATGTGGATAAAACTAACGATCACGGAGTTGACGCCCTGTTAATTGATGGTTTCAGATCTTTTGTCGTTTTCTTCTTGGAGTGCCCAGTCCGTGCTGCCCGGTTTGGTCCTCGCTGAGGCATTAGCGCCGGATTGAAAGATAGCTTGGGTTACAGTAGGTGCTTTGGTTCTAAGATGCCAGTCCAAAAAAAGATCACTCGTCATATTTCTTGAAGATCATTGCCTCAATTTGGGTGTAAAACGAAACACTATTGGGTGATATTGGGTGTGACAACCTCATTTGTAGACCCCCAGGCCTTCCTTTGGCTTCACCACGGCCCAATTTTTCGCATCACAGGCAAGTCGGAGCAATCTGATCTCAGTGCCTTCTTGAAGGAAATCGAGGAGCCATACTTTTCTTGTGGCAAATCATTCTTCTGTTGAGTTGAGCCATCCATCGCAAAAGCATTGCGGATATAAATCAGTTGGCATCATCATTTCATGTCTAGGGTGAAAACTGAAAACATATTTGCCCATCAAAAAAATGTGATTTCCCTGTTAAAAATGGTGATTCCCATTAAAAATGGTGATTTTCCCATTAAAATCAGAATGGAAGTTGATCAGGATTGGGCACCTTTTCAGCTCAGGGCAGTCCATGATTGTCAGTCCCAACATATCCCCATCCATCAACCTCCCCATCTTAAGCCAAATATCATATTGTTAGTTATAGTTCCCCTTCTTTCGCCCCAAAAACAGATTTCCGTTGGTGAATTCCCATGATTTCCCATATGTACTGCCAGTGACCAATTTCCAACAGCGCTGCCAGTGACCTTTGGAGGACCTCTTGAATAATACTATGAAGAAGAACATCCTGCAGCGCGTGACACAAACTCAGGCTGGGTGACTCTGGGTAGCTAGGTCCATGATTGTTACTATGTTTAGTTGACGATTATTGCTATGTATTCCTGTGTCTATTTAATTTATTATTACCAATATTGTTAGTATGGGTTTCAGCATTGCTCATATGTTATTCAAAACACGTCCTGTGTGTTGTATCCACGTTTTCCCCTAGCCCTACCTCCGACCCCAATGCTTCGCGTAGGCAGATTTGGAAGGCGGCTGGAGCAACTTGAGTTCCTGCACTCATCCAGAGGATTTGAATTACAACAACGCCACTTGGCTGTGATATTGGGTGAACTGACATGAATGGAAATGAATGGAATATGGAAGAATGATTGGGATCCCCGTGGATCTCCATCATCCCAGAGATCTGGGGGTATACCATGGCTGAGGATGTCCAGACCCTTTCCACCAGCCATGCGGACTGCCGCGAGCAACAGGCACAGCTAAAAACTTACGGCGGGGAAACATGGCAGTGGAACATCTTCTATAGATGGAGGAGGTTCGCAACTGATATACAGTATTATACAGTGTATATATATTATATATACATATTCTATAATATTCTATATATATATATACACTGGTTGGTGGTTTGGAACATTTTTTATTTTTCCATGTATTGGGAATAATAATCCCAACTGACTAATATTTGTTAGAGGGGTTAAACCACCAACCAGTACACGTATTTATTTATTTGTTTAATAGTTTAATTGTTTTTTTTAAAGATATATGGGGAATTGTCCATTGCCACAGGTTATTACCGGAGGGTATACCACGCTTATAAAAGTGCTTTTTCAGCAACTCTGTTCCAGTTGCAGGCAAATTGTGAGCATTCCTCACTGGTCACTGGATTGGTTAAAGGGATATAAAACATATAGAACGGCCGTGTGTTCACTAAAAAATATACATGCATCATATGTCCAGTCAATAGTTAAAGTTTTATTCTAGCACCATACCTTTCTTCAAGTGAATGCACTTCAAGTGCATTGCAATTGCGTACCATTTCCTACTCGTAATATGTTCCACAGAACTTGGTTTATCTTGTGTCAGGCTTACCAGTAAAGAAAAACAACCACCCAGAAGCCGACGTCGGCACTGGCGGCAGAACGCGGCCTGGTCGGACTACGACACCACTTGCATCCTGGCTCGACAGATTCGCGAGAACGAGATCCGCGCCTTGTGTACCTCGAGCGACGTCGAGGAAGCCATGAAAAGCCTGGGCATTGATGGATTTATTGTGATTGATTTTTTTATGATTGTTTTTAATGGGATTCATTTGGAGCCTCATGGGATTTTAGACAATGGGATGCAATGGGTTTTAATGGTTTTTTAATTGGACTTTATTTTATACTGGATTGAATACTGTATGATTTTATTCGGGTTCAACATGTTTTTATGTTATGAATTGCTAATGGAATCTTAATGGGACGTAAGGAACGGGACTTCATGGGATATGGGATTTGAATGGGACCCTCAACGGTTAACGTCATAGCCTAGAAACCTTGATTTCTAGTCTTGGATCTTTTCATTTTGGGGGATGGGATTAATGTGCTAAAGCCAGAAATGTGGCAAAACATTCCCAGTTGAACCAGAAATGGCTGGCATTGTCATTCTCCCTTTTCCGCGGCTTATTCTTACATATATACTCTTCCCAGGGGATGGTATGCAAGGTGCACCCCAGTCACAAGTTGGTTGAGTCACCCAGCTACAATCACCATGAACCTGAACTATAAATTTACATATGAGTTTTAATTACCAACTTAGCTAAGAAGCGGCACCTTGAAGGTGTCATTCCTCAGATCGGGCCCTTCGTGGCGGTACGCCACAAGCGGCGCTGAGGCAATGCTTTTCAGGCGGCCAATATCTTCCCAAACCCTGCAACCACTTGTTCCATGGATGAGGGAACCAAGGCACCGCGGCCATGGCGGCCATGGCATTCTGATGCTATTCGAAGATTCACCATGGAAATCAACGGTTAATCATCTACAAATTACTAAAGGGCAAACTATATGAAAATAAGAATTCTCGGCATGTGCAGTTTCTATGTGCATGTATCTGTACATATATAAATAAAAATATATGCTCATCAAAGGAAGTTTAGGGGGAGAAACTTCCGTGTTACGGACTTTTAGAATGTCAGGGAAAGAGTTAGTCAAAGAAAGAGTTAGCAAAGAAAGAGTTCGTCAGGGAAAGAGTTAGTCAAAGAAAGAGTTAGAAAGAGTTAGTCAAAGAAAGAGTTAGTGAGGGAAAGAGTTAGTCAAAGAAAGAGTTAGCAAAGAAACAGTTAGTCAGGGAAAAGAGTTAGTCAAAGAAAGAGTTAGTGAGGGAAAGAGTTAGTCAAAGAAAGAGTTAGTGAGGGAAAGAGTTAGTCAAAGAAAGAGTTAGCAAAGAAACAGTTAGTCAGGGAAAGAGTTAGTCAAAGAAAGAGTTAGCGAGGGAAAGAGTTAGTCAAAGAAAGAAAGGGAAAGAGTTAGTCAAAGAAAGAGGTAGCAAAGAAACAGTTAGTCAGGGAAAGAGTTAGTCAAAGAAAGAGTTAGTGAGGGAAAGAGTTAGTCACAGAAAGAGTTAGCAAAGAAAGAAGAAAGAGTTAGTCGTCAGGGAAAGAGTTAGTCAAAGAAAGAGTTAGCAAAGAAACAGTTAGTCAGGGAAAGAGTTGGTCAAATAAAGAGTTAGTGAGGGAAAGAGTTAGTCACAGAAAGAGTTAGCAAAGAAATTGTTCCCTCACTGCATTTGCGGTCGACAGAATTCCATTGTGATTTGCAACTGTAGGATCGTTCCCGCAATGTAAATGGGATTGCAAGTGGTGCTGGTGGATGAGTTGCCGATGGAATTCCATTGTGATTTGCAACTCTAGGATCGTTCCCGCAATGTAAATGGGATTGCAAGTGTTGCTGGTGGATGAGTTGCCGATGGAATTCCATTGTGCTTTGCAACTGTAGGATCGTTCCCGCAGTGTAAATGGTTGCGTCAAGGTTGCTTCGTGCTGTGGCTGCATTGGTAATACTATTGTCTTTTGCAGCTGGATCTCGGAAATCCTATTGGAGTGGCTGCATGAAGGCTGCGACAGTGATTTGTTAGCAGATTTTCTCCATTTTGGCGCTAGTGAATTTCCTTCTAAAAATCCTTTTAAAAAGTGCTTCAAAATCGTCTTTTTTTTCGCTCTGGCGTCGAGATCCGGTTTTGGAGCTACAATTTCCGACGCCGTTGTGCGTAGTTCTATTGTGTTTTGCAACTCTGTCTCTGCAGATCGCATTGTAATGGCTGCGTCAAGGTTGCTTCGTGCTGTGGCTGCATTGGTAATACTATTGACTTTTGCAGCTGGATCTCGGAAATCGTCTTGGAGTGGCTGCATGAAGGCTGCGAAATGGATTTGTTAGCAGATTTTCTCCATTTTGGCACTAGTGTTTTTTTTGGTTGGACGTACGTTTAGAGCAGTGTGAAGTGTGGGGCGTGAAGAGTGCAGTGTGAAGTGGGAAGTGCGAAGTGTCAAGTGTGGAATGTGAAGTGTGGAGTGTGAAGTTTAAGTTTGGAGTGCCAAGAGCGCAGTGTGAAGTGTAAAGTGTGAAGTGTGAAGTGTGAGGCTTGGAGTGTGAAGGAAGCAGTGAGAAGTGAGAAGTGTGAAGTGTGGAGTGTGAAGTTTGAAGTTTGGAGTGCGAAGAGTGCAGTGTGAAGTGTGGAGTGTGAAGACTTTGCTTCGTCTCTCGCTGAAAAAAAGGCCGCTTGTCGAGGGAAGGACACGGTCGGGACAGGTTGTCTTCGAACTATAGGTCATTTATTTTTGGGAAACTTCCGCCGCCGGCTTGCCCGGGTCTATGTTATATTTTATGTGGAAGCAATTGCCTCGGAGATATTGGAATATGGTATGAGGAACCAATTGCTTTCCATGCACGACCCAGTGATGCCAAAAACAAAGTAGCGATCTACAAAAAACAACAGTGCCCTATAATATGAAATACCCCCAATGAGGGTTCCCGAATTGTATATATACTAACATAACTATGGAAAATCACCATTTTCAATGGGTAAATCCATGTAAATCCACTATCAATGGCCATTTTCAATAGCTATGTTAGTCATTACCAGAGGGTATATAGACTCAGACCCAATACTAGACTCGGGTTTCTACATGGCGCCCCCTTCTTATAAGTGGGTTTAGTGACCAAACTCCAATGATTTCATCACGAATGTGGCGCCCAACTGTCAACCGCTTATTGGGATGACGTGTCGCCTGCCAGGTACCCACCATTGGCAACTACTTGGGCGAGATGGCGAAGTTCTTCCGCAGCGAGTGCCCTGCTAGGATTATCCCTTCCGAAGATATTCTTTTCACCAGGGTATGTCATACATATAGTTGACTTCCTGAAATTCTATCAATGCTAAATGCCTTTTAATTGGGTTTGAATGGTTCAACATGGTTAACCATCCTGAAGTGGAGATGTAGAAATATATCAACAACAACGACCGCACTTGATGATACTTGAAGAACATATCATAGGGTGGATATCACCGTGACCATCACCATCCCTGTTGAGTTCATGAAAACTGTGGGTGACTTTGGTGACCAACATTTTGCCAGGAAAACATCACCATCTCTGTTGAGTTTATCCTTTATATATATATGTGTGTGTGTGTGTATTATTGACATAACTACAAAGCATCTCCCAAAGTATTGCCAAACTTGTTTGGACTGTGGTTGTTGGTGCTTGGGCTTGGTTGTTTTCCACCGGAGAGCAGCGGCAGGTACGACATCCTCTATGCGAAGAAGATGGCCTGTGCCTAACCCCGGAAGGATGGCCCTGAGATTTGTTTTCAGACAAAATCTCTAAGAAACTAAGGAAACCCTCTTATTTGTTTGTTGGCTTTACATGGGCATATGTTCGCCAAAAGTATGGTTTCTGCTGTCCTGAAGCCAACCCAGTGTCGTAATTGTCCAACGACCAAGGTGATAACGCCACCAACACACCCTTTCCTCACGAGGAGAACCACAGCGTGTAACTGAGATGTGTGGGACGACTGTCGTTTGGGTTTCAGGGATCCTACGAACATTTGGACGCTCAAAGAAATCATTTGATTCCATGGGGCCCTCATGTTATTTGTAACTGCCTTCTTTCATGGGCTATTTCCTATCTTCAATTGAGGGAATCACATGCCATGGCTCTCTGCACTTTCCGTAGGAGCTCTGCAAGCAGAAAATCTGCGAATACTACGACCAAAAGATCTCCTGTGACGTGCTCTGGCGAAATTCACGCCTGCAAGATGCCTGCAGAACATGCAGCAGCTTCAAACAAAGATGGCATGTAGACGTGGCAATCAATAAGCACAGGCATATAAACGGTATACAAGCAAGCTGTTGGTGGAAAAGAACCCTGAAGGCTTTCACACTGGTTGCCACTGGTTGGTGATTTTATTCAATTCTTTTTCATACCCCAAACTTGGATGATTAGATAGGGTGGGAAATGATTCCAGGATTAAAATATATAATCGTCTCCCAATTTCCAGAGATGCATCAATGCTTGGCCGTTTTGGACAACGCCGAAATCCACGTGTGGACCCTGTCAAGTGCACCAACCACCACCTTGATAAGGAGAAGCAAAAGTCCATGGAAGAAAAGGCCTGCACTCTTCACAGGAGCCGCTGAGGCTTACGGACTACCAAAAACGTTTGGACGGTACCCGTTCTCATATCCATGACATTCATTACCATCCACTGGCCGGGTAGGTGTGTTGTCTGATATCGCTCACTCAACATGCCCAGATTTACCAGATTGATCATGTTTGATCAATTTGTTCATCTGTAATCCCATCCCCGCAATATTAAACACCCCGCATAAACCATGGTTTGGTGGGGGATTTCAATTGGGATCATTTAGCGGGTAACATTCCGATACATAGGACCCACAAACGAACGGGTCCACAATTGGTGCGCGGCGACGCCTCAGGAGTTATACTTGCAACCTCTTCAGTGAGTGCTATACGGAGAAGGCGAGATCCGACTTTTATGACTTGCATCAGCCCAAGCCCAAAAGATTCTAATTTGTTTAGGGGAGAAGTCCAGGGGAAAATGTAATTCGTGTGGGAATGTAATACTTTGATATATGGGAATATAATTATGAATATTATGTGTTCCCTTGGTCTACTGATTGATTCAGGGTGAACATCTAGGGGAGAGCATGGCATTTCTACCGACAAAGTATGGAGGTTTCCTGTAAATTTTTGGTTGAAGCAATTCCAGGGTGGCTTCAAGCCATGCGTATTTTCCATCATATTGGAAATATGTGGATGATTGTCCATCATATTTGAACATGTTCCATCATTTTCCCAGCATATTTGGGATGATCCCAACTTTCATATTCTTCAGGCTTCAAAAACAGCATCAGATCCGGTTACCTCCAGCCTGCGAATGAGAAAATGAGCATGGCAACATTTTCACAGAGATTATTGTTTTTTCAAGAAACTGAAGTTAGTTTTGTGTTGGCCATGGGGACAGTGGAGACATGTCATGAGTTTCCCGATTTCCATCGTTTTGCAAATGTTCATCACGACTTTGTCACCAATGACACAAAAACAAAGATGGCAACGTGGAATCCATAGATGCCATCTTCCCACTGGTAGATATGATGATACTAAATACTAAATGGTAACTATGCCCAAAGTCTATCTTACCCTACAAGATGTTTATAGTAACTAATAGGAACTAATAGTAACTTACTATCATGGCTGCCATTGTTTGTAGTACATCATAGTTCCTATTTGGTTACTATTAGTACCAATGATAGTACTATAGCAACATATAGCAGCATATAGCCACTAATTACTATCTATAGTAACTATGATAGTACTAGATTGTAATTCATTACAACCTATATTTGTATTATATATATAGTAACTAATAGTACCAATAGTACCTTGGGCTGCTGGATTCACCTCTGAGGTGGACATCTACAAGGGCCTGGACACCTTGGCGAAGGAGCCTGTTTTCTTGGATATGCCAACATGGCTTAAATGGAGATAATAGGAGATAATATGGGATAGTATGGGCTGCAGTAATATGGATGATATAAGGGATAGTATGGGATAGTATGGGATAATATATATATATATATGACCAACCATCGAAGATGGCAGGCCGCTGGGAAGTCCTCAAGTAAATGGATGTAGCTGGGAAAATCATCACACTAACTGGGGCACCAGCAAACCATGTTTGATTGCCCGATGGTAGTAGGCAAACTTCAATCACAAGTATGGGGAAAACAGCTTCGTGGGACGTTCCTCAGGTGACCAGACTGGCGAAATCAGAGGCGTACTGGCCATGTGATATTCCAAAAGTGATCCACAAGGCTTTCACCAAGGCTTACCCAGTCCCATGGGAAAACTCGAAACAAAATCCTCCCGGGCTGGTGGTTTGTAATGCCCTTCATCAAACATGGCAAGCCGGAAAATTCCCCGATTTTATAGATGATGTTCCCATCAAAACTTATCAAAACCTCCATGGCTCGTTCAGGGATTTCCCAGCCTTTCCCAGTTTTTTTTGTGTTTTTTCCCCAGGTAGCATGATTTTCTCCCCATAAACAGCTGTTTTTTTGGGTGCCTTTTAAAGGGCCCAGCCACCACCAGCCCTTTCGAGGAGAACGAGGAGGCCATCAAGTCGGAATGGATCGCCGTGTCGCGCATCGAATGTTTGGTGAAGGCTCTGCAACTGGAGGACCGGCCGGGACTGGCCGCAAGGGGTTGGCACTTGGGCACTTGGGCATGGTGGGGGGTACTCCAGTGATGGAATTGTGGTGTTTAAAGCTGAGTAACTAGATCGATATACCATACACACCCATAAACCCTATAGTGAAATTGGAGTTATAAATGATATAAGCCAGTTTACTTAATGTTTTTGGGGCACCACCGTGTGTTAAGAAATAAATGATAAATGCTGTTCAACCAAAGGACGGCTCATAAAGCTGGGGGATGTTGTTAGAAGATGTGGGTTTTACATGAAGTTTCTCCAGAACTGAAGAAATACATTGAAATTGACCAAGAGTGCACAGCTTTTCGGATGACATGGTTGAAACATGTTTAGATAAGGAAGAAAACTAGGAGCGAGATGACCACCAATGACCACCAAAGCAAGCAGCTTGCGGCTTCACACCCCCTAACATGACAATTAGATTGTTGTCATATTTTGATATGTTTTCAATGTCTATATCCAGTAGAAATGCCAGCAATTTGTGGCTCTTTTGGTAAACATGATTGATCACTGGTTGAGCTGTTGCTCGCTGTCCAGCCACCTAAGTGGTCCAGCGAATCCAGTGCACTTCATTGCGTTCGACATTCCACCACTCTGTGGATGGTTGATATTCCCAATTATCAAACTTACATATGCCAGAGTTTGACCTGCCTGGGGGGTTCGAAAGACACTAAACCCCTCAAAAAAGGTATTGCCATTTTGGATTTATGGGTCACCTTTTCAATACAGAGGTGGTAACGGGAGTGCAAAGTTTTTGGGTTCCATTTGGCGGATCAATTTCGCAACGTTCCAGTGGTTCGAGAGCCCTGTCAAATTTAGAGTGACCTCTCATTTGGTGGGTTCCTCTTTGAACGAGGGTCGCAAAGCAACATAAAGCAACTAATTTTTACCTTCAATGTGGGACCCCCAGATAGGTCAGTTGGCCCATAGCTAGATATAATTTGGTTACTGATTGGATTTATGGCAGGCATATTGCCAGTTGAACGGGTGAAACTAAACCAACAGACTCAACTTGGCGAAGTTGGTTTACAAGTATTATAACTGGTTCTTACTGGGACTTGTGCTATATATATATAGTTCATGGGGTTTATAGACCACAAAAACTGTTCGCATCCTTCCACTTTCAGTGCAGGATGCGGAAGTGGATGCAGGGATCACAAGCTGCAAAGAGAAGATCTACAACACTGATGCTGTGGCAGGGAAGCCCAAGGGATTACCATCGCCCCAACTAACTACTCGACCCTGCCAAATAGGGATAAACAGGAGGAACCTTCACATGGCCATTCAAATTCAAACATATGGGAGGTGATGATAATCATTGAACTATAAATTATGCGGTTTGTTGTTTCCCCATTGTTTTGTGGATTTTGATGAATTTGTTCCTCATTCTTGTTTTTGGTGTCCTTGACTTTGGATTCTGTCAGTCTTCCCCTAGGAAAAAAACGAATTTTTCGGTGTGTTCTCCCCAACATGTCCGGATTTTCTTAGGGTTTTCCCATGGGTTTTCCCTTCCATTTTTCGCTCCAGGCCTTGACCTACAAGGGCGATGCACCGGCCCACCGTTCCTGGGTATCCATGGGAAAGCCGTGGAGAAGTTGGTGGATAACTCCAGTAACTAGGGCCTATGAATGTCTATGGCAATCATAGCTAATTTCTGTAGTCACTATTAAAATTATTTGGTATATTATGGAGTTTTTTGCCGTCAAGCCACTAAATTGAGGACACTAAGAGAGAAGGATAGGTGGTATTTCTGTGTTCTGGTTGCTTTTAGCGTTCTGGTTGAAGTGGGCTACCCTTCGTAATTCATGAGGTGTATAAAGCAAGTGATACTGTAACTGGGATATGCGTGAATGATCTCAGGATCGCTATGTTATTTTTTTAATAGGAAGTTCATGGTAACCTCATGTATATTGTATATACAAATGGGGATTTCATGCAGATATGTTTTGAGGTAACATGGGATAGAACCAGGCCACAATCAAACGTGTCTAAAAACAGTGGAATTTAAGTGGGAAAAAAACATCGAACTAAATTTACCAAGAACAGAATTTGCCAGCAAGCCTTGGTTGATTACCAGGGTAGTTGTAAAGTGTTGTGAACACATTAATGTTGGCCATAAATAAATATATATATATATATATATATGTTTGTGGGTAAGATATGTATATATATATACATACAGTATATATTTCTCGTTTTTGGGTCAATGCATTTCAGCAAGTGCAGCCGTTTAGGTTTGGCATGGGCCCATTCAGCCAATGAATGCTGGCCCACAATTTGTGAACCACAACTCTTCAAGATAAAGGTTGAACAGAAATCAATAGCCACCCTGGGTAGCCTGCAAGATCTGAACATCGCCCCGGTGAACCATTGTGACTTTTTGTTGGATAGAATCATGATAGATAGAATCATTATAGGTAGAACTATTATAAACAGAATCATTGAGCTGATCAAATCCCTAGTTTGAGTGAAATGTAGATGCTGGGCTTTCCAATGGGTGAGTTTACCAAGCTACACTGCCGCCAGACAGCTGAATTGTGATGGTCCCAAAGAGCTTAGACTAATGAAGTCGTTACTAATCATGGTTTCTGAGAGGTCTTTAATCTTGGAGAGATTTGGGGGGAAGGGATTAGTGTACCTAGACATCCTAGACTCTCCAAGTACCCATGAAACTGACTACTTTACCCCATAAGTCCATAAGTTTTAGAATGCATATAGACAAAAAAACATTTTTTACAGATACTCGCAGGGTCAGACAAACTCATTGCCCAGGCACCTGCACAGACATCTTCTTGCAGCCGGGCACTGTGACATGGCGCCAGTTCTGCCAATTCTTTGGGTTGACACATAGGGATGCCCGAAAAACTAGATGGTTTATATATATATATATATAATTATGTTCCTTATTGAAAAGCCACTTGTGGGTATGCCCTATTTTAAGATACCCAAATGTTGAGGCCAGGAATTGCAGAAAAGTATTGGATGGTTGATGATGTTCGACGATGTTTCGTTCTCAAACAGCCAGCAGAGCAGATATTCATATGGGGATGTATCAAAACCTATATTGCTATATTTTTGTGGGATGAACATCATTGAACATCCTTTTACCCGCTATTTTTGGGGTTCACTCGGGTACCAGGGTTTTGACTGGTTTTCAACTGTAGCCTTTGAGGCGGTTTTCAGTACCCGTTGGTACAGCGGTTTGCCCAGCAACACTCCGGCGGAGAGCTGTGCCGCTTGGGTCGCGATTGGGGTTTGCACCCGGTGGTGAAAAGGTTCGCGAAGTTGCTGCAAATACGGTAACTCCAACTTCACTAGGGTTTATGGTAAACATATATATATATATTACATAATTATATATATAGTTCATTGTAGTTCCTATTTGCTATGGTAAAACTTCACCACTGTGACTGTGAGTCGAGAGGAAGGGGCCTACCACTTGAGCCAGGCCTCCACCTGCTGCATGGACACCAGCTATACTCCTGGCTACCCCTCGGGCGCCGCCTGTCCGTACGTCCCAAACGCCACCACCACCACTGTGGCGACCACCACCACAGTGGCCACCACCGCGACCACCACGGCACCGTGGCTTTCTGTGGCGGTTATGGGTGGGTTTTGGCAAGCTGTTGATATCTGTTGATGTGTGGTGGAACAGATGGATGGGGTATGATGGGGTTAGGAGATGTTAGGAGGCCCCTTCCAGTAGCCAGTTCAGCAAGATCACCTGTAGATGGACCTGTACAGCTTGAGATTTTCCTGTTTTGACCACTCTTGATGCGCTTGGCCATGAGGATGCGGTTTAGGCTTAGGCATGGTTGAGCCCATTTGTTGGCCCCTTTGTGAATTGATTAGGGTGAATTTTAGTAAGGAATGGAAGCCTTCAAATACTTTCGAGAACAGCCAGAAAATGAGAAAGAGATCCCGGAATTGTGTCTTCCTTTCTATTTCCCGCCTTGGGTTTAAATTGGAAAATGCTGGGGCTTTCCAAACGATAGCCGCTTTGCGATAGCAAACCTTAACGATAACGAGAACCATGGCCAGAAATGGTCTCGGGTAGCAGAAGGTGATCCAATCAATCACCTACTGGTATTGATGTGGAAATTGATGGATATGGATTGCAAAATCAATGGCTTTTTGTATGCCATGTTACCAAATGATGTAACACCATATGGCAAACTAGAAACACAATATTCATCTTTCATCAAGACCGCCTTTGGGACCCAGAATTACATATCGGTCGCCTCTCAGTTAGGATCTTTTGATTTATGGCTAGGAATATATAAGCCATAAATATATATATATATATATATTATATATATAATTATATAGTTTATGTTTTATGAACCCTTATGAAATATCCCAGGTTATTCCAGTTCTGGGCTTATTCCCCACTTCCGACCTCCTTGCCACATCGTTTTCCAAGGCCGCCGTGATCCGCATCGCAGGGGGTCGCCGCGGCTTCCGCTAGGTGCATCCTCCGCGGGCCGAAGCGGCGTTCACAAAAAGCCGGTTCCGCAGAGCGCCGACTTCTCGGGTCTGGGGAGTTGGTGTCAATGTTGGTACCGGAAATGGGAAGATGTTATGATCGTTATGATCATTATGATCAGTATCATCATTTATATATAATGCATATATAATACATATATAATACATATATAATACATATATAATACATATATAATACATATATAATACATATATGATACATATGTATGTATGTTGAGGAGGAGGACGATGACGATGATTATGATGGGATGATAAGTTGCAGACAGTTCAACAAAATGGTCATGTTGATGATATCCCATAAGGATTCTTGATAGGAAGTGGGCTCAAAATGGAAGGAAACGATGCGGAGCTCAGCCGCAAAGCAGAATGTTGTCATGGTATGAAAGAACCTTTGGCACTCGAAGATTGAAACCAAAAAAGCACTATATGCCCAAGACATAGAATGTGTTGTTTGACGTAAATTTAAATCATGATTTCACCGTTGTTTGATTGTCGCAAGGTTCATTTTGTAAGTTGGACTGTTATGTATCGAACAATGGCTGAAGCAGCTTCCGACTTGAAGATTTGCGGTTGGATTTCACTATTCAACACCGCATGATTCGCGACAAATTGCTCAATCAGCGCTGTGCCAAGATATCAGATCAGTAAATGTCCCTGGTCCTCAATCCCCGGAACCTCATAACGATATCTGAGATCAACACATGTTCAACGTTGTGATTGGTGAAATTCAAGTACTGTTCAGCCCACTAGGGTGGGGAAACGAGCCATGCCAGATGCTGCAAACAAGGAAAACTACAAGGGCATCTTTGAGGGTGTTTTAGGGTTTGGCCAGAAGGCTGCTGTGATTGTGGTAGACTTCACAAAGGCCTATACCACCCCTGCCAGTCACTGGTTCTGCGGTGGCAAGGGCTTTGGCGTGGTAGATGCCATTGCAGAATCAAAACCTCTGATAGAGCTAGCTCGCTCCAAAGGCGTGCCTATTTTCTACACAAAAGTGTGCTTTGAGCATCCCACTGATGGTGGAATTTTCACGCAGAAGATTCCCTTGCTGCGCACTTGGACCAAGGACAACCCACTTGCGGAAATTGATGACAACGTGGCCCCTCATGCTGGAGACAGCGTGCTTGTCAAGCAATACCCTTCTGCATTTTTTGGTACCAACTTGGCTTGCAACTTGAGGGCCATCAACGTTGACACATGCATCATTATTGGTTGTTCTACCAGCGGATGCATTCGGGCTTCTGTGCTTGACGGCATGCAGCACGGTTTCAGGTGCATCGTGCCACGTGAATGCGTGGGTGACCGAACCCAGAGCATCCATGAGAGCAATCTTTTTGATATGAATGCCAAAAATGGCGATATAGTTGACAAGGCGATTGTCATGCAGGTCTTGGCCAGTTGCGGGAGTGACATTCAGCAGACTATTGAACAGCCAGCTAAACAAACTCGCGTTGGCAGTCCGCAAACAACATTGATCAACAATCAAAATGCAAGTCATGATATGAGCAGCAACGCTCAGAACTACAAGGGCATCTTTGAGGGTGTTTTAGGGTTTGGCCAGAAGGCTGCTGTGATTGTGGTCGACTTCACAAAGGCCTATACCACACCTGCCAGTCACTGGTTCTGCGGTGGCAAGGGCTTTGGCGTGGTAGATGCCATTGCAGAATCAAAACCTCTGATAGAGCTAGCTCGCTCCAAAGGCGTGCCTATTTTCTACACAAAAGTGTGCTTTGAGCATCCCACTGATGGTGGAATTTTCACGCAGAAGATTCCCTTGCTGCGCACTTGGACCAAGGACAACCCACTTGCGGAAATTGATGACAACGTGGCCCCTCATGCTGGAGACAGCGTGCTTGTCAAGCAATACCCTTCTGCATTTTTTGGTACCAACTTGGCTTGCAACTTGAGGGCCATCAACGTTGACACATGCATCATTATTGGTTGTTCTACCAGCGGATGCATTCGGGCTTCTGTGCTTGACGGCATGCAGCACGGTTTCAGGTGCATCGTGCCACGTGAATGCGTGGGTGACCGAACCCAGAGCATCCATGAGAGCAATCTTTTTGATATGAATGCCAAAAATGGCGATATAGTTGACAAGGCGATTGTCATGCAGGTCTTGGCCAGTTGCGGGAGTGACATTCAGCAGACTATTGAACAGCCAGCTAAACAAACTCGCGTTGGCAGTCCGCAAACAACATTGATCAACAATCAAAATGCAAGTCATGATATGAGCAGCAACGCTCAGAACTACAAGGGCATCTTTGAGGGTGTTTTAGGGTTTGGCCAGAAGGCTGCTGTGATTGTGGTCGACTTCACAAAGGCCTATACCACCCCTGCCAGTCACTGGTTCTGCGGTGGCAAGGGCTTTGGCGTGGTAGATGCCATTGCAGAATCAAAACCTCTGATAGAGCTAGCTCGCTCCAAAGGCGTGCCTATTTTCTACACAAAAGTGTGCTTTGAGCATCCCACTGATGGTGGAATTTTCACGCAGAAGATTCCCTTGCTGCGCACTTGGACCAAGGACAACCCACTTGTGGAAATTGATGACAACGTGGCCCCTCATGCTGGAGACAGCGTGCTTGTCAAGCAATACCCTTCTGCATTTTTTGGTACCAACTTGGCTTGCAACTTGAGGGCCATCAACGTTGACACATGCATCATTATTGGTTGTTCTACCAGCGGATGCATTCGGGCTTCTGTGCTTGACGGCATGCAGCACGGTTTCAGGTGCATCGTGCCACGTGAATGCGTGGGTGACCGAACCCAGAGCATCCATGAGAGCAATCTCTTTGATATGAATGCCAAAAATGGCGATGTAGTGGACAAGGCAGTTGTCATGGATTATGTTTCGTCTTTGTAGTTAAACTTCACAATTTTCTCTGAGACTGCGCTGCAAAAATCTTTGAAAAATTGCATGGTTTGCATGCTACTGTGGAGCTGTGGAGCTGTGTTGATTTGAACATGGAGCTGAGGTCCACAGCAGCTGGTTGCCATCCACCTGGCGTTCTGAGTAGTAAGGGTTAGGTGATTCCCAAAATCATCTTGTTTCAGGTCGGCGAATAGCAAGAATTTATCTATCCACATCCGTGGATGGCATTTACAGCTGTTCTCAGTCGCATCGAAAACGAGGTGGCTACGGAATATCTCAAGCGACTTGATCATAGTTCTGGAGGTGTGGTTCAACCAGAACCCAACATACCAACATTATATAATTATATAATCTCAAATTTGTACATCTTTGAAGGTACATTGTATATGCCGGCCTATCGGTTTGACAAGGCTTTTGCTCTTCCTATTGTCCAAAAATTCGATGAAACCGTAGTTTGAAGATTCAAGTGCCCTGTAATATCTCACTTCAATCCCTTTACATACTCATATTCTGGTTGGTGGTTTCGAACATGTTTTATTTTCCATTTCATATATGGGATGTCATCCTTCCCATTGACGAACTCATATTTTTCAAGATGGTTATTGCACCACCAACCAGTATTCATTCCCCATATTTCCCCATATTGGTGTACTGTGGCCCATGCAGCGATAAAACCTTTGCGCGTCTGCGGGCCTGAAATCATGGAGACCACGGTCCCTTGATGTCCCTCTGGGAGGGGTTCCATTCACAAACATGGAGAGTTGGTTGATTTTGGTTGATTGTTTTTTGGATTTATTAGATGATTTGACATCGGTGCAATCACCAAGTTTGATGTGTTTCTCCTGCTTGTCAATTGTTCTAGGTAGGATAAACATCAAATCTTCCTCGACGGATTTCAGAACCGACTGCCTGTTGTGGAACTTCTTTGTAGATGTTGCATGTATGCGTATGACTTCCGAGTAAGAGTTGGTGAAGGTTACTGCAATGTTACTGTCATAGTTTATTTGTTTGCTTTTTTGGTGGCTACCTAAACCGTAGATTAGTGATGATTAGCGTATTAAATGTGTTATATAACGTTTTGTTAGGAAGGTGTCTGTCAGGCCCTAGATGCTGAGCTTGTTGAGCGCTTGTTGACTCCTGGCTCCGTGGCTCAAGATGTGCTCAACGCTACTGGGTAGCTACCCAGTTACTACTCGGTGCAAAAATGTTTTGCTGTGGCCTGGCTTTGGAGGTGGCTGCAAGTCCACTGATAAGTCCACGGTTTGACCCTCCAAGAGCCTATAAGTCCTATAAGAGATAGGTAATACTAAAATTACAACATTACAGGGTAAAATATCGATTCCGAGTTGATTCTTATTCCCCACCTGCCAGGTGAGGGTTGTTAGATTTTATCAGAGCGCATGCCCGCCTCCTCCTCCTCCGCCTCCTCCTCTTCGACTAGCTGTCCTCCTCGCCCTCCTCCTCGCCTCCGCCTCTTCCACCTCCACTTCCGCCTTGCCAACCTTGCCAACTCGTCGCCAAGCTCTTCGCCAACTTCCCAGCTCAGTGCGCACTGCTGGACGTCAACCTGCGAGCTGCCCAGCTCAGTGCGCACTGCTGGACGTCAACCTGCGAGCTGCCCAGCTCAGTGTGCACCGCTGGACCTCAACCTGCGAGCTGCCCAGCTCAGTGTGCACCGCTGGACCTCAACCTGCGAGCTGCCCAGCTCAGTGTGCACCGCTGGACCTCAACCTGCGAGCTGCCCAGCTCAGTGTGCACCGCTGGACCTCAACCGGGGACCTGCCCAGCTCAGTGTGCACCGCTGGACCTCAACAGCCAGATAGAATGCCAGAAGATATGCCAGATAGCGTGTCAGATAGAATGCCAGAAGGTATGCCAGATAGAATGCCAGATAAAATGTCAGATAGTGATAGAAGCCACAAGATATGCCAGATAGAATTCCAGAAGATTTGCCAGATAATATGCCAGAAGATATGCCAGATAGAATGCCAGAAGATTTGCCAGATAGAATGCCAGAAGATATGTCAGATAGAATGCCAGAAGATTTGCCAGTAAGAAAATGTATAAATGTCATGGTGGGGATCACACGAAGTAAAGTTTGTTTGTTTTTTTTTTTAAATGAGCACTTGGAGAGTCCAGGTAGCTTAATAACTACCGGAAGCGTTGTTACGAAGCTTTTTTTTTGCAGCATTTTACGGGTCATCACGTCACCAGGTTCCCTGAACGAGGATGACATATCTTAGAATTGGTGGAAGAATTGCAGGCTCAGAAGCTGGTTAGGCACGTGGAAAGTCAAATGCTAAACCAGACGTCATGTACCCAACTTTTGCCACTTGGATATTCAAACCATGCCAAAAGTGGGGTTAATTCATGATGGCTTTTGGCATTGTTTGATTGTGTAGAGCAGGCATATGCACATGGACTCATGTGCCGCTCCGTACCACCTATGGTCCTGCAGATTGTCCTGCGTACAGATTTACATGTGTGTATCGCAACCCTTTGCAAGCCCCAAAGAAAAGATACAAAGATTATATAAAATAACAACAGCACAATGTTATACAAAGATCTTGGTAGATTACCATAGATTACCTTCCCAATTTTTGTTGTGTTGTCAGTTGTTATCATGCAAATACAAGGTGGGGCCACCGAGATAGCTATATAAGTTAGTTTGCAACTAGGTCAACTAGGCTAAATATACGTTCTACATATTGCATCATATGTATATTCTATATATGTGTTTCCATATAAACCAAGACAATGGGTCATTATATTTCTTACAGATTTCTATAGCTTCTACATTCTATAGATCATGGGACATCCCTGAGTGTTCTACTGTATCCATTTTGGGTCCATCCTTTCCCCATGGCGAAGCCCCCAGGTTGTGCTGATGACAGCACTGCCGATGCGGTCATGGCGCCAGTTAATCTGGAAGGCGACCGAGTGCTACCGGCAGTGGATAGTGAGCAGAGCTGCCACTTGACGCGTCGAGTGCTGGATGGATCTAGTTGTGGTGAGACCCCCCAAAACGGAAACACCGGAAAAATGCTGGGACAGGGAACAATGGGGATTTAATGCAATGGTGTGGGATTTATAGTTCTTGTGTTTCTGTTGGTTCAGGAATATTTGTTTTTGAACATCACCCAGCTACAGATTGAATCATATTGGTGATATTTCATCTCCAACAGGTACTTGAAAGTGATGTGAAACAAATCCCCAAAACATATCAAAACAAAACATTTACAATTATTGTGTTTTCGTTTGCTTGTACGAACCCCCAAAAACGATGGATATCGTACAGAACATTCAATCTTGCGCTACTTGAATTTGATGTTATTCAATATATGGAATATATATATATGAATGTATACAGTATGCATGAGTATGCTATTTTGGTTGGTGGCAATAGGAATGCTTGTTATTGGTGTCATAATTCTGTAATTCTCCATTGGTTTGCTGCTGCAAAAAGGGGGGAGGTACCTAAATTAAAGTGCGCCCGTGTGGCGCACTGCGAAGTCTTCAAAGTGCCTTTTTGATCATGTACTGAAGGGCCAGTCAATGTACATAAATGATCATAAATGTACATATATGTACATAGTCACATTTGTAAGATCACACATATCCCCACACTTCCAGGCGCAGTCAAATTATAGCCTTGCGCTGGTAGGAGCCTAAACCCACCAGGCAGGGTTTGGTGCCTTTCAGTGCCACCACCCTCCATAGACATCCCTCCTTGAACATCACTGGTGCAATGGCCAGGTTTCCTCTTCACAGTTCCTTGGCGGAGTTTGCGGACGTGTTTGCGTAGACCCATAAAGCCATGTCTAGGTAAATGGTGCTGCCCTAGTTATAAGTTGGTTAGTGTAGTCTAGATCTCACCAACCTACAATTATGTCATCACCGTAAACCATCGTAAACCCAGGAGTTAAGCTAGTTGTATAGCAACGGGAACGACCTGTGGCACCACTTGTAGGAAAAGGCGTTTGAACGCTCAATGAACTACGTTCTTAGATGGCACTGTTCCCAGGAGGACATCTTCCCAAATTCCTGGGGTTTCACTCAGAAGGGGGGGACTAGGCCACTAGGCAACGACTTCAGTGGTGGTCCCTTGGACCCACGGCCACCGATTGCAGCTCAACCTCAATAAAAAGGTGGTGTCCCTCAGATAACAGTTGGTTTACATACCATAGCAACTATATATATATGCATTGTATATATATACACATTGTATTATATATATATGTGTGTAATGTATGCATGTATGTATGATATGGTATGGTATGGAATGAAATGGAATGGAATGGAATGTAATGTATGTATGCATATCACATATCTACCACACACCCTAGTTTTCGGAGTTATAAATGGTTATAAATCAACTTAGCTAACTATCGGGCACCACCCAAGTGAGCTGGTCGCAACTGTGGGGCGCTGGGTGATTTTTAGGACCCGTTTACGGTGCGATTCCATTGAAGTTTACACATTCTTTCATATTTAGACTGTATACACTGTGCGCTTATATGAACCAATAAATTGTATAAACATATATATATATATATATGTATATATATGTATGTGCCCATCTATTCTGTATATTTATGTGTGTGTGATACATGCACCAATGTTGATTGCTAATAGCTATATTATAGGCATATCCCGTGACACATCGCACTTACCGGGCAGGTGGAGATGAATCGAACACCAGGAACCAGCTTCGGAGTGGCTCGGCGGTTTCGTAGCAAGCAGGCTATCGTTTGCACATGGGGCACACCCAAGCGGCCATTACTTTCATACTGTGGATGGATGAAATCCTAAACCAGTTGGTATAACTATTGGGAAAAACAATTTTGAATAATGGGATTATAAGGGGATTATAAGTTATGACACATTTTGAGAAAGTCACTTTGAATAATGGGATTATAAAGGGATAAACTCGGATAAAAAAAAACATCTACCAGCTGGTGCCTGATTTTTTCCATCCACGCTAGGGAGAATGAAGAAAAATTGAGGTGAGGGTACCTATTTTCAGAGATGGCGTGTTTTTCATATGTAGTTTCCTGTCCAAGAGGAAAGTTTCCCCAATGGCTAGCATATAGCAATACAGTAGATTGCTGGGTGCCAGTGGAGGGTGGAAGAACTGGTCATGATGCGGGTCATAGCCCCATTCACAACTGGGAGAAGATTGTTATAACATGTTATAACGTGTTATATCCCCGTTATTATCGTTATTATCCAGAAACTCACTTGCAGGATCGTTGCAAGTGCATCATGCTTGTGGTTTTTGTTGAGTTTCATCCTTTCAGCTAAACACAAATTTTCATTATTATTCGGTTGCTTTCAGGGGTAGTTTGGGTTCCCTGTCGGCTGTCCCGTTCAACATGTTCAACCATGTTTTGGAGATTAAAACACGCGACATCATGCGACCATGGATCAATGTTTTCAATATATGTACTGTACATGTCACCATTTTATATTAGGGGCGCAAATCAGGATGTGAACACCTATTTGCCCGCTAATGATGTTGATGGGTCACCAGGGTTATCACAGTGTTAGACCCATCCCATATTAAGAACCTGGCTGGTTGAACAGAACATGTGAAAGTGGGTGTAACCTGCGCCTTGACGACACGTGGCCAGGTAGACATCTCGGCCGCAGGGAAGGTGTGCATGGTGAATGGCATCGAGGATGGAAGTTTGGTGGACGTCTGGAACAGCGTCTTGGCCGCCGGAAGAGGATGGGATCGGATGGGGCATGTCATGTTTTCAAGGATGGTAAAGGATGGCAAAGGTATATGTTGGATGTGTTTGGATATTGATAGTTGTTTCATGTATATCATTGTAGATTCATGGTTCATCACGTTTTAATCATGCGCTCGTCGCGATGCAGTATTTTTGGTTTGAAAAGAACTATGATGGGATTCTTCCAGTAATTATCTTGTAAGGATCCGGGTCAAAACAAGAACTAAAGAATATAGAAAGTGAAGCCCAGACATATAGCCATTTCTCTGACGTCTCGCTAACCTTGCACCCGTACCAAATAGGCAGGCGGCAAGCGGGCTGATTTAGGCATATAATATTGCGACCTGGATAGCTTATATAGACTATATATATATATAGAGTCTTTAGTCATATTCAGCGACTTTTGTTTGATTGTTGGAACTGATCCCGATTACATATGTGCTAAAAGTCTAATTAACATTATACAATGAGCACTTTTTTCATCGTTTCACGTTGCTTTGGGGCGGCTCAACAGCCAACCATTTGCAGAAGCCACCATGGCTATGGCCAGGTCAGACCAAGCTTCCCGAACATAAGATCCGAAGCTTGACAGTCTTGCTGGCCGTCATTGGGCAATTGGGCTGATTTCTTTGAGATCTTTGAGAAAGGGGAAGGATTTCATCCCCAACTTTGGATTAGCAGTTTTTTTTTAATCCTATTTGTTTGCTATAATAAATACAAAATAACCCTAAACAGTAAAGCATTATTTTTGGTTGACAGAGATTGACCATGTTTTGGATTTGAACTGGCCAGATGGCATAAACGGAATGATGCATCAGGGTGACCGAGGTCGTGAGCCATATCCTGCATGGAGGGGTGCCAGGAATAGGCAGCTACTGTTACTGCTGAACCCATTTTGGATTTGCAGACCCCCAAGCATTCCCCTATGGTTCACCTAGGTTCCCCTAGGTTCACCCACATGGTTCTCCTATATAGTCTTGGAAGTGTTGGAAGCCCTCTCTTAGCAACAGCATAGATGAAACATCTCAGGGAAGTACGATCGGCTCATGAGCCTGAATGGTGAGAAGCCGGCCAAGGGCAAAGTTGCTTGGATCTCCTGGGTTGATGGGTCCTGGGTCAGCCTGGGTGGTCCTCAAAGATATTTATTAAGCCATGAACAATACAGTGTGGTACCACCAATAAACTGCAAGTTGTCTTAGAGTCCCTATGAACATTGATGTAACCACCATGAACCCTAGATATTTGACTTATATCTAATGGACGTCACCTGGTAGGATGCAAATGATGCAACATGGAAAATGTCCTCAGGGTGTTTGTCTCTAACTCTGGGGCTTTGAGGCAGGGATTGGGCAGGAGATGTAGCGTTCATTTTTTAAAGATCGGGCCACATGTTTCCTCATTTTTCACCTAAGACCTAAGTCACCTATAATAGTAATTTTCTATATGATTTTATCCACAATGTTTGATAATCATCATGTTCACCTATGTATCCTTAATCCTCTCCTCAATCATCCCACTTTTGCATTGCAAGGACATGTTAGAAAGGCTTCGCGATGCCAGTGGTCTTGTGACCGTTGTGGCTTTCGCTGCATTGAGGCCCCAAATTTTCTATGAAACCATAGGAGTTGGACGGGTCCTCTTTGGATAGCAGATTTCAATCCCATGATAATGAGTTTGGTGGTTTCAAGATCGTGTCTACCTCTTCTGCCAGTACGGCTGGAAACAAGGAATTTCGATTGGCTAAGTTATAAAGTGGTTGACTGGAGGATCAGTCCACTTGAGTATTCATCACATATGGGAAGTTCACGATGTAAAGAGGCACTGGGAAACCCTGCCAGAAACAATTTGGGGATGGTTTCACCAGGTTTGCCCCAGTGAATCGACCTATCTTTGGCGGTCCCCTGGTGTCATTTTGGCACAGCGTGGGAAGCACTTCTATCCGATAGATCCAGCCTTCAGAGACTTCGTTATGGTTTGCAAGGACTAATGAAGACATGAAATTGAAGTGCAAAGACAAAGGCCATCATGTTGCCAGATTTGTAACATCCCACTTGCATTTTAAGACGTCGATACAGTTTGTCACCACTTGCCCTAAAACCAGCTAGGCAGCTTGAGAATCGTGGAACACCTATATCACGAGAAAGTGATGATCAACATGGCCACTATTTGGATGGGACAGATGTTCCCAGATGTTTTTTGCGCGGATTCAACACGGTGAGATCTCTCTGACTGGTTGGTTGTTCGGAAAATACAAGGTGGTGCCCCCCAGTTACAAGTGGGTTTACAAACCATAGTAACTGTACATGTATGTGTATATATATATATACACACATAAGCACTAGCTGACTAGCTATTTCAGTTGTATAATGTTATATGTATATATGCATATATATATATGTGTGTGTGTGTTCACCAACTTCACAAACTATCAGGCATCACCTTGCAATCCCCCGACTGCCATGGTGGTTCAACCATCAGCTAAGGGCGTTCAGAGGCCTGTGATTCAAAAGGTGGTGGTGAGAAGGACAGAAACGACCTCCTCCCGGCCGGGGGCAATTTCCAGCTACTTAGACCCTCCAAGATCCTATGAAAGTCCCCAAATCATGGGTATAGTATGGTATAGTATGATATAGTCTGGTATAGTCTGGTATAGTATGGTATAGTATAGAATAGTACATCATGTTTATCCATTGTTTTCCTAAGTATTTTGAGGGTCTAGGAATGTCTGTCATAGTTGAGAATGGCCAAGTCGTTGTCGCCACCACTTTGCTGTGCAAACCTTGGTTTCGTTTAAGTTTCCCTCAAACCAATCCAATGATTGCTTAATGGCAATGGAAATGGCAAGAAGAATGCAAGACCTGTGTGTTACCTACAGGTTTTGCAGACCTGTGTGTTACCTACAGGTTTTGCAGACCTGTGTGTTACCTACTGGTTTTGCAGCTTATTATCTAATCAGAGACAGGCTTTCTGTCCTTGGTCTGCTGTCATGATACCGTGGAGGAGCGAGAAAGATCTTGGGATTAGCGTGATCGATGGGCAAAGCTTCTTATTGGTCACCCGGGTCAGTGAAGGAACCATCAGCTGCTCGCCAATCCGTCAGATGGTGAGCCACGATTGAATTCCAAGACACTTGTGACACAGCCGTTGTGGTCTCAAACCTGCGATTGGCGGAAGGTGTCTCAAAGACAAGATACCTATGTTTTGTTCATTTCATATCTCGCCATATTTGGAATGGTGTGATCCCCATTGACACCGTTTTTCGGGGGGGCCAAACAACTAACTAGGGGACCCTCGCCCTACACAGACGACATACCTCTTTGAAGTTGACCCTCGACAGGCCTTATTAGGCTTCACCTTTCGACAACCTACTCTCTTGATGTTCTTACTGGTGCTTAGTAGGGAATGGATGGGAATGTGGGTTGCTGGGATATGCTGGGATAATTATTGATAGTTGTTGTGAATCATTCCCTCATTCCCTGCTAAGCACCAGTAAGATGTTGATTTGCCTTTCAAAGATTTCTTTGATTGTCACATCCCCATTTTATGGTGCTTGCATTCCCCTGCTGCTTTGCCGAATGTCCAAGGCACAACCCAAACTCCAGCCGCTCACCCAAGAACCCTGACGACATGATACATTTATACATGGGTTTGTCTAAATTGGGGAGTGCCACAATGCACCACAAAAATGTGATAGTTAATCAATATGTTCCCTATAGTATAGCCATTGTTTGGGGTATGGACCCCATTTCCAGACACACCCAAAGCACTTATATAAGTCCAATTTGTTGATGGTAAGGTAACACACATATATATATAATCATGCATACCTATTTTCTATACCCCAAATATACGTGTATGTATTAATATGTATGTCGGTTTCCTAAAATGATGGTATACCGCAAATCATCCAAGTCAAGGACTTCCATGACTTAGGGACCCCCCTTTTTAAGAACCCCATATGTATGTGCCCCCAGGCACATAAGTTTGTTTGTAAACCCATTTGCTATGGTTATAAGTTTTAAGATGTTATATGTATCATAAATCATAGTTATTGAAGTTTATGTTCACAAACTTAGCTATCTAGGAGGTATATGGCTTATATAGCTCCTATGACTATGCATTGTTTTTATAGGTATCCCTACGTTGTTATTTAACGTCGGCCCCGGCCACCGAGGTGACCATAACCTGCGCGCCCTGGAGGCTAAGGACGTGATCAAAGTGCCCTCGCGCATCGTGGCGGTTGATGGCAAAAAAGGCAAGGGATCCGAGCTGCTGAGCCTTGCCCAGTGGCGAGGGATCTGGGATGGGGGTGATACACTTGGGATGCATTTCTTATAATATATATATATATATTACAGATAGCTCGATAGATAGATAGATAGATCGAAAGATAGATAGATAGATAGAGAATTTCATATGTATATATATATATATATTGAAAAAATATAGATAGATAGATAGATAGATAGATAGATAGGTAGATAAATAGATAGATAGATAGATAGATTAGATAGATTAGATAGATTAGATAGATTAGATAGATAGATAGATAGATAGATAGATAGACAGACAGACAGACAGACAGATAGACAGACAGATAGATAGATAGAGATAGATAGATAGATAGATAGACAGGCAGATAGATAGATAGATAGATAGATAGAGAATTTTATGTGTATATATATATATATGTTATATATATATATATATATGTTTTATATATATATGTGTGTTTTTCAATAATATCGTATATTATACATATAATATCATATATGTTTCATATAATATCATTTATTTTACACATAGTATCATACATGTTTCATATAATATCATTTATTTTACATATAATATCATATATTATTTTTAATTTCATATTATGTATATATATATATATGTGTGTGTGTGTGTTTAATGCGGGATCCCCAGGGCACAATCATGAACTATACATATTTATACGATGTTTATAGGTGATTGAATCAGTGCTCCCCCTCTTGGAGACTAACAGTTTGATGTGGAAAATCCACCGTTTGTAGATGATTCAAACCTAGCAAAAGCAAGGGTTTTATACTGTATCTATATAAACGTTTAGCCTAAGGTATGTTATTTTGTATTTATCTAATGTGAGAAACCCAATACATCCCAATACTATAGACAACTACCATTTGGAGATGATTGTTATACCATCCATTTGTGATGTGTTTTTTTCATACATATATATATATATTATCATGTTGTTCTGTTTGGATTTAACAGAAAGAACTATCCATTATGTGTGTGTGCATATGTACATTTAGATGTATATATGTATAATTGGGATGGTAAGATATATTTTTACAAGTTCGTATGCGTAGGTATATGTATAAGTGTAATTTTATATTGTTTACCTTAATCTATTTATCGCGTTTGTTTTCGATTTTTTTTTTTCGACATACGAGTGCTATATATATAATATATTTATATATATATACAGCAGTACCAAACAAGATAGAAAAGCGCACTCCTTTTGACAATTAGTTCTAAATTAGCATTTTGTTTTCTTTTGGTTTGTGCGTATACATATTTTCACGTATAAATATAATATATATATATGCGTGAAACTATGTAGAACTTTACTATATATGTAGTACATTGGTAATATACATGTATACATAGGATGATGTAGAGTTGTAGGTGCGAAGCTTTCAGTGTAGTCCAAACATGTTCTAGTTGAAAACCAAAAGTAAAATGAGACCCCCGGAAATGGGGATTTGACTTGGGAATACCATCTTCCAAACCCATTTTGGGTTCCATGTGTTTTTCAAGGGTTGGAGGTGTTTGGGTGAGGATTCGGTGCCTTGATGCTGGTGTCATATGGTTCCCCTGCGTTGAAACCCAACTTCATTTTAGGTTTGTGGAGCCTATAGGGCTGTAGGCCTGGGACCAAGAGCCAAGTTTCTGCTCACGCAACAAAAGGCTATGGTATAGAATCATAGTATAGAACAATGTGTTCTTCCAGTTCTGAGGGAGATGGCATGTTTGATACAAATTGCCAAATAAGGGTGATGGACGATTTTCCACAATCCGTGGATATATGCCTGTATCATTTCTCTATTTTTTTTGTGGCTAAATGTACGTATGCATGTCAACACGGGTACTGATTTATTGCCCTGTGCGCCGCTCAGGAAATACATGGAAGAGTCCAAAAGCTCTTTCGAATTAGAAGCTCGGCATTGTAATGCAGCAATGGGTGTGCATTTCCCACGTGCAAATGGTGGCTGAACAAAACGGCTCAACATGGCTCAACACAGAGGTTCTTCAAAGGGAAATTGGCATTTGGCAATGTATATATATATATACATGTTGTGTCCATTTGTGATTTCTTTTGGAGGGGGTTTTCACCATAAATTGGTTCGCTCACTCCATTCACCTTTGCTGGGATAATCATCCCATTGCCACATTCATATGGGTACAAGTCCAAACCCATCTTATGTTTTGTGGTTGCATCTGAAAACTAGTATATATTTGTATTTAATGATAATATATATATATAATAATACTCGGTGTATCATGTCTGATCTAGATTCTAGATATGTCTCTATCAATTTCCCAGTCCCTGAACATGGGTAGTTCAAGATCCTCAGCCATTCAACCCACCGACCATGCATAGGAGATGCTTTGCTATGACTGAGACAGTTCTCCCCTGCCCATTTTTTGGGCCAGACCTGAGCTAGCGTGATGACATTTGGCCAAAACGCCCCTTGCTCGGAAGAGCGAGGACAACATAAAATGCCCCCAAGTTATTTTTTTCAACTTTGGTGGCTTTGAAAGCCAGCGGAACCTGTTCGAATGGTTTACACCTGGGGTGCTTGCAGCATGCACTGGGGTGCGGCATTGTCCAAGGATGCACTTTCGAGATTGAACGATGTGTTACATTTGTTACATGTCAACCCATTGATTGCAGGGAAATGCAGGGAAGCTATGTGCGGGAATCCTGATGAGAGGTCATTTTGCTCTCATTCTGGTTGTTGGTTCCATATTTGATCTCTGCGTATGTTTGCCTATGTTTGGATTTTTTGATTCTAGCGTACAATTACAGATGCATCATATCTAAAACACACTATATATATATATATAGACATAACATAACATAACATTGCATTACATTACATCACATGCATACATGCATACATACACACAGACATAAATGTGTATATGTATATATATAATTATATTTTTTGTAGGTCCATGCCCATGCAGGTCCTTTTCCCCTGGTTTCGTTGTGATTTCTAGAGGGCCACCCATTTTTCACAGTTGGTGGCCTAGGAGTTGGTTGGGTTCATTCTTTGGGATAATCACCAGGTTGGATGTGTCCCAGGTAGGGCTAGACACAAAACTCAGCCACCACCAGTTGTGCAGCCGACCCTGCCGTGCACTGCTTTGGTTTCACATTTGGCGGGCGCCTGAGGGAGCCGCTTTCAAGCCGTGAATGTTGAGCCGCTTTCAAGCCGTCTAGGAGCGAAGGTAGCTGGGTATACCCTGTTTTTAAGGGTGGTGAAGCAGCAAAAATTCCGGGATTTACCCCAAGGGTAAACTCACATAGATGTAGAAAACCATGGTAACACCCTAGAAAATTGATCTACGTTCATGACCTTTCATGGTGGGCTTTCCACATCTATGATGTATGTTAGTACACCAGAGGGTAACCAGGAGAAATGTTGCTGTTCTTCCTTCATCCACAGCAGTACTTTTGTTGGTCAAACGACTGGTGAATGCTCGTTTTTTTTGGCGCTTCGAACTTCTGAATGGGTCCCTTCATGGAGGCAGAAACATGATTGTTTATTAATGTTCCTTATTGTATATTATTGTTGCATTGTTATTACTGCTATTATTATTGAACCATAATATATATATATATAAATATTACTTGCTTATTATTACTATTAATTCCTCCATTTTTGGAATGATGACCCTGCTGACCCTCGTATTTTTGATTGTGGTTGAACTTGCGGGCTACTGATGGTTGAGGGATGTTTTTTCACATTAACTTCACGGAATTTTCAGCCAGTTCACGACTACGGTCCCTCTGGGATTCCATAGGATTCCCATCTCCAAGTGATTGGAGGCCCATTGGAGGCCATTTGCAGTTTGCCTTTGAACCAAGCTTGCCATGGCAACATTCCAAGGTGCCAAAATGTGTGGATTGTCAGCTTCCCAAATCCCTTTCGCCATCGTTTCCCATGGTTATCGCAAATGAAAATGAAGATATTGCCGTGTCAGCTGGCCCGAAGGCCAGAAGGTAGTGCCGAGACACGAACCGGATTTCAGTGCTCAAAAAGGCTTTGCAGGGCCTGGTGGTTTGGCGTTCCCAACAGCTACCAACTTCTGATAGGGCAATCCTCATTGTGGCTGGGACGCAACAAGGATTCCATGGCGCACGTTGCTCAAAGCAGCAGTTCACCGTCAGAATGGCATGATTTCCTCATGTCATGATGCTCTGCAAACCGGGAAAAAAGCACTAGGTCACTAGGTACAATAACGATGTGAAATGTGATGTGTTTTTGGCCAAGTTCACGTGCTTTGCTAAAGCGGGGTCACATCAGCTACTGTACTTTTTTGGTAAACCCAAAGGATGTTGCAGCTACACTGAAGCCACATCATAGCAGTCCTGAGAAATGAAATGGAGACTAAAATGAAGGTTTTTCAATGGGATTCTTTTGATCTTTGTCGTATTTTGTCTTTGGTTCTATCTCTGCCTCTGTCTCTCTCGCATTCTCTCTCTCTATATCTCTTTCTCTCTCTCTCTCTCTTTCTCTCTCTCTCTCTCTCTCTTTCTCTCTCCCTCTTCTCTATCTCTCTCTCTCTCTCTCTCCCCCTGCAATTGTGTCCTATAGATAAGGATAGGGGCAATGGAAATACCATGCACATGAGAATCGTCAACGTCGGAGGCGGCCTTGCTGAATGGCCACAGCGAGCGGATTGTTCTCATGGGCTGCTTGGAAGAACTGCCTAGAGGTGCCATGTGGAGAAAACGTGGCAAAGAATGAGAAACAAAATTGCAGCAACATCCACGGGTTCACTTATAATCACTTTTGTTCTGGTTTGATGATATTTGGACATATTTAGAATTTGAAACATGGATGTGTCCTAAGGATGTTCCCCGCAGTATCCCAGGGTCATATTTGGATCATGGATCTTGCGGCGTGGTTAGCACCAAGGAATGTCTCAAGGAGGAGGACAATCCATGTTGAGGTGCTTCGGTTGTGGCTTTGGGTGCCCGGTGATCCAGCCCATGGTCGATGAAACAATGGGTCAACCCAACGTATTGACGATGATCAATGATTCTCATCGACAAATGGGACAAACCAGGGACTTAGATTTGGTGATTCTTGATGTCTTCCGTTGTTGAATGTACCACCTCGGGAATCTACGCCGTCTGTCCGTTTTTTTTTTCCTTTTTTTAAAATTGCCCTCTTCAGCAAATCAAAGTGCTTCGGCAATCCCTTCCTGCGACCATTTTCCGTGGCCCTCAGTTCGGAGGGGAACCCGAACATGAGAGAATCATATGTTCTGATTGGGTGCCTTAAAGATTAGTCATTCCACAAGTAGAACATAATATGACCATAAGATACCACAAGACTGTATATGGGTTACATTATAATAATCAAAATGATTTATAACTCATAAATCCACCTTTAATTCCACCACATCAAGATAATATTGCTATAGTATGCTATAGTTGGATGGAGGGAGTAAAAAAAACAACAGCATTAGTTTATAGTCAGGTGATGGGTGGAATCATCAATACTTCCCGAAAACGGTGGGTTAATAACAGTCTGGCTCTATACTTAGATTGGTATTTGTATAAGCATGTATCAGGGTACCCATGATCATATGGCGATAGTTATATTGGTAATTTTATTCAACTTAACTCACTATAGCCATAGTATAGTCAAGTCTCATTATGATAATTAACCAACTTACACTGGTGAACTATAGTGATCATATGACTATAGTTTTACCATGTTTTACCATATTAATCAGATAAAAGGGTATAAATGGTATAAACGAATTTCTCCCTGGACATGCCCAAAAATGGTAGACCGCAGGTTCCTTCGCTCAAAGATCCGCCTGGGGGGCTGGATCGGCTCCGTCTGCCACGTGCCAACGGCGCCCCATACGCCACGCAGCCGTTGCTCGGTTCCGAAGTCATGGAGGTACCCATAGGTACCCAAATCATCCAGTCGTCATGGTGACTTGGGATGACCATTTTAGTCTTGAAACCGGTGACTTGGGGTACCCATTTTGAGGAAACCTCCATTGTGTGCATAGGGATATTTCAAGATAGTTCCTTGGAGAATATGGGATAGAACTAATCGTAACTAACTCTTTTTCACCTAGATTTTGTGGTTTGTCGATGACTTTCGGCTTATTTTCGCAATGGGAAATCGACTTAAATTGTGTTTATTCGTTTGAGGTTCCTTGAGCAAATTCGAGGTGTTGTCCAATTAAAATATATAATTAGACCGTTGACCATTTGAAACAAACAATATACTATGGAAAATGGTCCGTTTATAGAGGATTTGCCGATTAGATATTGGGGTGTTCCATCGCAAACTGTTGAATTACCAGAGGTAGCCAACCAAAGTCCAACTAACTAATGGGAGCTAAATGGGATTCCAATGGGAATTATCAGGTTTAATCAGCGGAAATTATTTCAGGACCTTAAAATGGAGGTATTGTACTGTACCATATTATAAAACCATATTTTGGGGGCAAATCCGCTTACATAGGCCTATATATGGTATGCACCTCCAATTTATATACCTGAAATGGCCTTTGAATGGGATGTTTTTCAGATTTATTGGGATTTCAATGGGAATTTACGGATTCCGTTTAACAGTTAGCTGTGGAAAACGGTCCATTTAATCATTTAGCTCGCCGATTTGCGTATCACAAATACTTTTTTTCTCCAGAATCTACAAAATGTCCCATATTTACAGCGTTATTCCAATGGTAAATCAATGGTAGATCATGTGTTTTGTGTTCCTTTGGTATTGAGCAAACTGTTGAATTACCAGAGGAAGCAGCCAAAGCCATGCGGATTGCCGGGTCGAGGTGATCCGCTGTTGGTCAGCTCTCGGCCCACGGAGCCTTGGTGGAGATGAGGCCTTGGTGTTCATTGGGAAAATGTGATCCCAATGAATGGATTTTTTTCAGTAATAATTTATAGTATTTTTTTGGGATAATGGATAATAATGGTAATAATAATGGATAATAATGGTAATATCTGATTATTACTTAATGGATAATAATGGAAATATTCAGTATTATCCATATTACAATACCATTATTATCCATTAAGTTATAGTATGTTATAGTATTTAGTGGAATTTAATGGACAATCATGGTATTGTAATATGGGTAATGATGCTTACTAATGGTTCATAACTTAATGATGGTTGAATCCACTGAGTAATGATGGCTAAGAATGCTTAATAATTGGTATATAACCAGCAACAATAGATGAACAATGGATTGAATAATTTGGTACTTGTAAAGCCAGTGCCATAAACCTACCACCTGGGGATGGTTTATGACACCCATGTATGGTGATGTTGTTGAGGATGGTTTGTTATTGAGTTTGCCACATCAACGGGGTTGACGATTGGGATACGATTGGGTTGTGGT